GGGCAGGAGGATTGATGAGATACCCCTATCGCTTAAAATTAGTGCTTTGAGATTGTCTGAAATAAATGTGCAATTGATGCTTCTAGCAGTTCTGCCCATGTTTCTCTGAGCTCTGATAACCTCTTGCATCCTGAGGGTTAACACAAGAGGCAAACAGCTTCCACCCAGGAGGCTGGGCAGATGGGCTAGGAGGGGTTTACAAAGCTCCTGGCTCTTGTAGGGTGCAGCAGATTATGTTAAAAATCAATGTCTCTGTTTCAGACACTTAGGACCATGTAGGGCAGAGAGGACTTGATGCTGTCACAGCCTCTCCTGTCCCCATGCATCTCCCCCAGGGTAGCAGGGGTAGGGACAAGTACCAGCTGTGCCCTACAGGGGCTGGGTGAGGAGAGGGATGAAGGGAAACCTGGGGGTCCCCAAAGAGCTGGAAAGCATGGCGGTAGGAACAATGGCAGCTAATGCCATCTTCCCTTTTTACTCCCTGGCCACAGCCCAGCCCCTCTGCAGAGTTACCACCATGAGTACTGGCAGCAATATGGCACCCTGGTTTCAGTGCTCCACTGAAAAATGCATGCTGAACCAGGAATGAGCTGAGCTTTTGTCAAGATGTTTGTGTTCAGCACCCAGAGGAGCCTGACATGCTTTACCTACTAAAGGGGACATTGAGGGATGCTCTTCTTCTCAGGGCAAGCTGGTAGCTAGCGTAATGTGGTCTGTCACCTAGCAGACAAAAATATAACAAAGTCCTACAGAAATGCTGCTTTTGGAACAATTAATTAGAAATTGTGTAGCTAGCCAAAGGAAACAGGAAATTTTTAACTGGTAACTACCATCAGGGACAGAGAATGAGAGCTGGGACGCAGTTTCTGTCAGACCTAGAATTCTGATCTGCTCTAATACAGCTACTGCAAATACATCTTTGTTCCTGTAAGATGTCAGGGAAGAGCATCGCAAGGGCCATTTCTACCTTTAAAATGCAGAAATGAACCTTTTCGCTCCACACTTGCCAATTGTAACAGATTGACTAGTTCCTATTTCTCTCTGTCTCTTTGCAGTGTACTTCAAAGCTTCCCACACCTCAGTGTGGAAGATTAAAAGTTAAGTAACTCCAAAAAAGCAACATCTCCTCTTTGATAATCCTTCTGTCAAATTATTTTACTCCTTTCTGCACATTGCCTTGTGTGCAGGCTCCTTCCCAGGGCCTGGAGCAGCCTGACTTGCCCCTGCCCGCTCCAAGTACTCACCATGTACCCCCTTCACTGGGGGGGTAAACATCTTTGCTGTTTACCTTTGGCCTCAGAGCAGCTGTGGTCTACCTTCTTGTGTCCCATTAAGGCTGCTCTCGCCTCACCACTCCATCTTCTCGAGGTGGGGATGTTGCTTGCAAGCCTTCCTGGGGCAAAGACTGCCTGCCTCCATGCTCTGTATGGGTCAGGAAAGCCACGGAGTATTCTCAGCTCTCAGCAGGGATCAGCAGTACCAGGTCGAGCTCCCAGGAACGAGGGGTATGATCAATCAGTCTTTTATATTGATTTTTCTCTTCGCTGAATGTGCAGCAGGAATTTGAGTTAAATGAAGTGTGGATTTTAATTTTTGCATACTAAACTTCAAACAAGGACTTACTGCCCAATGCAAATAGCATTAATCTGCAAAAGTAGCCCATTAAAACATTTGCGGGACTTAGTCCTAAAGGTGGTGATATACTTTGTTACTAGCATCAATATTTTTTGCATGTCTGTTCAGAAAGCATTCCTCAAATCACAGCTTGCAATCACTACACAAATTTATCAGATCTTTGCCCATAATCAGGAACCCAGCCCAGGAGTGCAGAATTAGGATTTGCTAATTCCTATCTAAACTGATACTACAGTTTGCCATCTTCTGTTTATGCAAGCATTCTAATTAATTTTTGCTCATGTGTGCCTGAGATGGAAGCTTTACAGTTGTAGAATAAAATGGCATTGCAGGCCAGAATAAAATCAGACTAATGCTTATAAGCCCAGCAGCAATGCACTTAAAAAGAAAAATAAAACCATTTAATTCCTCTAGATGAGCTATTAGTTTTTATAGTCATTACATTACTAGCAGCATGAACCTTGGCTGTAGAGAGTGCGGACAAGTGAATCATACAGTCCTTATATACCAGACATTGGAATTGGTTTTGGAAATAAAGTGGTATTCTTAGTGGTGGTTGCAGCTAAAGTTAATGGGCAGGAATGGGGCTTTCCCAGGGATTGCCTGTCCCCTCACCTAGTCCCATCATCAGTCCTTAGGGCAGATGGTAAAGTTCCTTCTACTCTCTTAATCTCACCTTGCCGCCTAATGAAATGGCCCAGGTATGAGAGAGTGCTTAAGGACAGTCAGAGAATATTGCGGGGAAGATAAACTCAGAAGGTTGAAAGGGTCCACCAGTCTCAAAAAATTAGGCACAGAGAAAAGAAGTCACAGCTCTATGTGCTACTGTAGATACTTGCATATATTTACAGTACACATAAGACTGCAAGACCTCTGGGATTAGCACCAAATGAATTCTAGGAGCTTTGAGCCTCACAGAAGAGTATGTTTCTCACTTTTTAAGGTAGAGAGTTCACTCTTCTCTTTCCATTCAGCCTGGAAATTAAAAAGGAAGGCAGACCCAGGGCCAGGGTCTTGAGACAAATCTACCCCTGTGACACTGACCTACACCCCTGCTCATGGGTCTGAACACTCAGTAAATTTGATACAGGAAAACTTATGATAACAAGCAGGAGCCTGTTAGGAGTTTCCAGGAGCTCAGGGACTATCTACACCTGGGGAAATGCCACACCATTTTCCTGATTCACAGGATATATGGTGCAACTGAAGTAACAGAGAGCTGCAGACTATAGGCAAAAGATGAAAAAGCTACTTCCATTAAACACCATTTTTAGATGACTTTTGGCAATGTCCCTGCTCTTCCTTCCTCTAACTCCTAGTGACAGGCAGTGAAGCCTGGCGAAACTGTGTGGTCACTTAGCAGTTTGCCAGGATGGTTTTTTCCTGACACTGGCTGTCAGCTGATGCACCTGCTCCCAGCCACAACGTCATTTGGCCCCAGCTGACACACGTGAGGTCCTATCCTTATCAGGTAAGGCAATTGTTCTGACAAACATGCATCATCACTAGCAAAATAACTGCATCACAGCCCTCATAATCAGTGGCAACGTGATGACCTTTGAAGATAATTGTGATAAGAAATCTGTGATAAAAAGCACGTAGAATGGTAATTCAGGAAGGGATGATACTAACACTGTAGGCATTAAAAATGACATAGATTAAGTACCTAATATGCATTAAGCAAGCATGTGACTTTGCAGAACTAGTCTCCAGGATTTCAAAAATTACTATTTCTGTTTGAAACAAGCAACATGAAGAGACTTTTTTTTTTTTTGCTATCTATAATCTTTTTGATACATCTACAACAATGACAGTTACTAGTGCAAAGAAGAGAAACCCCATTCATCTGTACTGGTGCATATCTTGAATAACACTGCTTCCTGTTATTTATCTAGAAGAATGAATAATAATGGACTAACATAAGGGCAGTAGTATTTTTAGCAACTTATGGTTCATCTTGGTACATTTCTGACTACTATTTACAAAACGAATTGTAATGCAGAGATGTAAGATTTGGCATTAGCAAACAAGTTCTGTGCAAGTTCCTATCTACCTGGAGGACAGCACTGTCCAAGTTACAGTGCACAAAAAGCCTCCCACTGCCTTTCTTCCCTTTTTCAAGGGCCCATCCCATGCAGACACCTGCTTACTGCAAAGCACCTAACTTGAAACTGCTTTGTGGGAAATAACAGGTAAATCTCCATCTGGTTCTGTGTAGGACAGTCTCTTACTGACAAAAGCAGAGAGCACGCACATCAGTGCAGCATGTCTCCCACACACCATACCTACATTGGCTGTCCATGCCTCCTAGATACCGCCATAGATGCAGAAATGCACATTGCTGCGAGCAGGACAATATTCTGGGGAACACACCCATCTTCTCCTTACACAAGTTCACGTCGGCTCCCAGACATTTTGCCAGAGACAAAATACTGTGCTAGACAAATGTTTAATGTAATCCAGAACTTATAAATGTAAGTTCTTAATGTAATCCAGTCTTAAGAAATCACTCTGACATAAGCACCCAACTAGATAACTTTAGTAGGGCTGGCACTAAAGCCGCAAACAACTCCAGTCTCTGAAGTTACCTACTTGAAAATAACTCATTTCAATCTCCAGCAAGTCTTCAGCACCCACACAAGGTGCCACTGGTGAACCATGGAAGAAATTCTTAGGGAAGAGGACATGTTCTCTAAGGGACAACATAGCTGTCACTCAACTCCAAAATCAAAAATCAAGTGAGTTTTTCCATTTTCTTTCCTCCAACACAATGAATGGTTGCCAGTTCTTTCCCTCGAAAGAACAATAAAATATGTTTATATTTAATAACTGAAAGACAAAGAGAGTATGGCAAATGTCAGTTATAGTACAGGAATAAAGCTATTAATGGTAAATAAGCTATTAATGGTAAATATGGATCAACTGAAGACAGGAGAGTGAGGATAGGACTCAGGCAATTCTTTTATGTGTACAGGTAATTTGCTTGCATTTCTAACTCTCTTGCAACTTTTGTTTCAGGACCATTGCTTTATGACCCATGCTCTCTGTTTGGGTTTACATGCACCCACTTCACAGTTTGCCTTGAGGGAAGAGGTGCACTTTATACTACATTATCTTGCATGATAATCTTTCTCCTTCTGATTTGGATTCCAGTTTTAACTCCTCTGATCTTATATGTGTTGGTTTCACCTGAAGATGTAAAGCTGCAGGAAATGGTTATCAGTGGTACTGATAACCTGCAATGACAGTTTTTCAGATTTCCTCAAATATTGGAGCAGTTAGCTCATAAGGACATGATAAATGCAATGTCACTATTTTTATTTGCTACATTCAGTCAGCATCCAAAACAAAAACAAACACACCTTGAATTGCTTTTTTTTAATAGTAATAACCAGCACATCCCTAAGCCACAATTAATATCAAGGTTAATGTAACACACTCTGAAATTAATAGTCCCTTCTTGAGCTGGGAAAAGCTAACTAAAGGATGTACAAATGCAGACAGGATTTCTGCAACGTATGTGCACGCACACACAACACTAAAGAAAATACTCCCACTTCATTGTGCAGGCAGGCAAAAGCCAGACTTTATTTAAAAGAACAAATACTCACCTGCATCACAGTATACTGCTTAGTTTATCGCTTCTGCTTTGAATTTTGTGCTTTCTTTTCACGTGTCTACATTTTGCAATTGTGTACACGCTGCAAAATTAACTTTATATATCATTTAACATCTGTGTATATCCTTTAGAACTTAACGTTACACGGAAATTGAAAGAAATCTTGAATTTTAAGGTACTGAAAACAATCAATAAGAGTCCACTGAAAAAAACCCAGTATAAATGTTTCTTGTAGTACAGTACTCTCAATTTTATGTCAGTGTCATTTTAATGCCATAGTTTTCAAATACTGACTGTATAAAGAGAAGATTAGGGAAAAAATATGCCATTCCTAAGTGTGTTAAACTCTGGTGATTTATGATAGATGTACAGTATATAAATATATTTATGTATATATGTACATATATATTGTTTAACATTCATTATAAATAGAACTGTGTTAACTTAAGCAGTATAAAAATAGCCACTTTCCTGGGAACATGCAAACACAATATGCTCTCACCTAATCTATAAAACTCAAAACAACTAAAACCTTTAGCTTTGATTTTCTATAAATATAAATTTTAATTGAAGACTTTCAGCTGATTTAACCTTAAAGTAAGTTTTTCCAGTAAAGATATAAAAATCTGTTTGATACTAGCTATAATTAAGCTCAAACACAGTATATTTTGGGTTATTTACTTTCAAGTATTTTTCCCATGTGCGCTAAATCTAGACACACTGCATTTTTTTCTTTTACAGTAAAATATTATTCAACTCTAAACACTAAAAGCCAAATTACAAGCAATCTGGCATGCTTGCACTGCAGGAAAAAGGCTCTCCTCTACACTGTTTCTATGTGGGAGGCTGTCCTAATATGGCTATTTGTCCTCCAGATCTTTTGTTCATTGCAAAGCATTATCAAGATTCCCATATCGTAAGATTTTTAAGGCCAGAAGAGAAAGTACTACAACCCATAAGTCTCATCTCATGCTCACTGAAATTCACGCTGAGGTCCCTGCATTCAGCACAGTGACTGGAAGCTGGACCAAAACACCTCTCTTGTTACAGCCAAAGAGGTTCCAGCTTCAGAAGTTGAGCAGGATCTTGACTTTTTAGTGACTTTTCCCAAGGGGAAAAAATTTCGGTTCCATCGGTTCCATCTGAACCAAATTTTTCTTTTTTTCTTGCCATATGAAAACCTGAAAAATTATTTTGCCCTGAAACATTCCCTTCTCCTCCAAAGTGGTCTGAGTACTAGTTAGAAAAACAAAAGAAGAAATAGGAGTTATGTTCAAAGGTGATCCTATTTCTGTTCCTCCACACCTACCAACAGAGAGCGCGCACTGGGTTGTATGGTGGAAGAAACATCACCGAGTCCTTCTTCTGCTCAACAGATTTCAACCATCCACTAGGAGAATGCCATAAGCACATGACTATGCCAGCCATGGCATAGGCTCTTTTCCATTCCATTCCATTCCATGTAGCTCAAAACTCACTCCTGATAATTTCAGAGGCCTGAATTGCAGCTGCCTTCCTTCCCTACAAGCCCATCTCACCCAGAACTTTGAATTGCTTTTGCTATCCCTCAGAAAAGAAAACAAATAGCATGGAAGACTGAAGGCACACTCTCTTCTGGTGATCAGATGACCTTTCAAGGAAGTAGGAAATTTAAATGCAAATGGCATGGGCAAAGGAGGGACCACAGTCTTGTTTTTTCACTCCTAGAATTATTATTTGCACCTGTAAGTTACTGGGTAATAATAGAGGGATGATCTTGATATTCCCCCCTTCAGCAAATCTATAGCTATTGCTCTGAAAATGTTTTCCAGATTAAGATGCTAGCTATTGTATTAAATCTGTGACTACACTTCTGACAATCAAAAGTGCATATCCCAATATTGCTGTCACCTAGTTGGAAAATGAGGCATGCAACTCAATGAGTTGGATGTCAGTGAAGGCCTACTTTCCTAAAGATGTTCAGCTTGTGCAAGCCTTTCTCTCTGGCATCTCTTAAAGTGGTACAACTAATTCCTTATCCCTCTAGCAAAATGGCCTAATGTTCCCAGCCACATCTTTTTTTTTGCTTTTTCCCAGGGTAGCTCCCACATTTTTCCCAAAAGTCTTTTCTAGTCAGAAGTGATAAATCCTTGTTAAAATAGCACAGTCTTCCAGCTTTTATATTTTCAGAAAAAAAAAAGGGGCTTTCTATTTCTTATAGTAAGTAGCATAAATGCACCGAAACAATGGTATGGATATACCCCTGTATTAATTGTTTAGAGAGCTGTCATTGGAAGTTGGGGACTGGGAATTCACAAAAGGCTCATTTGCCTTCTGATCGTCCTTCATGGAGGCTGCTTGGTCTGAGATGGAAGAGAAGGAGAGCTGGTCATGTTCCATTATATGCACTTGGTCCTCTTCCTTGTCCTTCTTCACATAAAACAACTTTCTAAACTTTTTGAGCTCATGAAGTTCACAGAAAGTCTCAAGAACCACCAACATTGCAATTAGGCCCATCAACAGATAACCTGAGTACAAAAAAAAAAAAAGAAAAAAAAAGTGGTTTAATTATTAGCAAACTAAGTTGGGGCTGGAACAGTTTTAATCCTGTAACTTTTCTCACCACATCATCTCTGACTAGTATGTTAATTTTCTTTATGACACAGTTTCAGAGCTTTGGACTGTCACGTCCTCTTTTTTTTGTTCTTTTTTTATTCCACAAGGAACAAGATCACACAAAATCAGAAAAAACAATGCTAGTGGTTTCAGTTCTGTTACAACTGTACAGAAGAAAAATGTATAAAGCTATTAAATGAAACAGAACATGAAAATTTACAACATGCACACTCCCCCGCTTATGACCTTCATGATTAAGTCCCCTACAAAACATTTTGATCAAAAGACCAAAAAGAAATTTTTCCCTCAATATTCCTATATGTTACAAATAGAAGTAAAAATACAGCAGCTAATTATAGTAATTTGTTGGTAAAAAGACAGCAGGTAATTATGGTAATTTGTACCTGTTTAGCAGGACAAATCACTTGTATTGCATGAAAACTTTTGAATTCTTTTCCTTTAAAATTATAAGATATCCAACACCCTGAAATGACTGGAAAAATGAAACAACTAGAAATGTGTACAAATCCAGTAAAATCAAAATGAAAAATTACTGTAAAATTGCTCCTGGAATTTTAAAAACCTGACAAAGTTGCTATATTTGATGACACCTTGAGGGTTATTTGAATGTTTTTCTAACATATATAAACTAAACTTGGAAGTGTTACTTAAATTATATTACTGATGACTTTAGCCATGTACTGACTGACTCTGACTCTGAAAGGTAATAGTCAGCTCTGATAACTGAGACGTTTGGAAATGGAACTTCCTATGATAAGCAGAACATGGTGCTCTATTTTTTCTTTCCTCTCCAAACATATGCATCTAAAATTTAAAGGAAGCTGTTATAATGAGCATTTATTAATCTCAGTATTTCATTAGATACCTATTATTAATCATTATATTTAATGACGAGCATGACTACTTGATTATTTTATCATTTCAATGAAGTAAATCAAGCAGAAGCTAAGCGTATAACTATTCATATAACATGTTCATCCAAAGGCTGAACATTAAATGTGCTGAAAGATGGGCACAGACTAATGATTACAATCTACATATGGTCACTGTTCTATAAATATTTCACCTGTAGTTACAGATTATTTACTGGCAATAACACTCTCCTTTTCCTTCCAGGAGTACTATTAAATCAATATTGCAATACCAAATACTGACCTAAATCAGCACTACAGCTAAAATTTATGAATTGTTTTTAAGCTTTATATCATACATCAAATGGGAACTATGCATTAACACCAAGGAAGAAGTGACAAAGCTATGCCAATTAAAAGGCATCTATAAATCTACACTGAGAATTTGTAATTATCTCTGAAACTCAGTCCAGTTGATTGCCAGTTGATTTAGAAAGGACTGGTGTTCTCTTAAAAATTCCTGAAAAGCCTATAGTACTACTAAGCATTTTCTGATGTAGAACTCCAAAATATCTTGAAGAAAATTTAAGTTCAGCGAGAGAAAACATTTTATTTGGTTCCTTGAATTGTTCATATGAGAGGAAGAAGAATAATTTAGAAGGTACAACCTCAAAACCTACCGAAATTAAATATTCTAAGGTCATCACTTTGCCTAAAAACTATTTTTTCCTTTTAGTATTTCCTGCAATTTATTTCCTAATTGTTTTAAAGTTTGAAAAAGGATAATCTGAGCCATAATCAGTTTTCTACTGATTTTGAATTTTCAGAATAGCTTGGACTGTAACAAGGCCTTTGCTCTGTGTGACTTTCCATTCACTTCAACAATTAGCACCCCCAAATCAGCTCTGCAGATCAGCAGGTTAATAATTAGAAGCTACCACTCGTAAGATAAACACAATGGGTAAAGGAAAAATCTCCTGCAATGGCAACAGGCCTGGCAGGAGAATAAAATAAAGTGTTCTGTTGGCTAGTTCAAGGCCCTGCTTCAAGGAATGAAAATTCAAGGTCCAATCTTTCTTTGCATAAAACAAAAAGAACAAGTCAACAGACACTTTGCCTGCATTACCATTGCTGGATCATGCACAGAAGCACAGTCAAATGCATACTGGCCTAAGAAATGGACCTGACAGGAAAGGTTTGTTTTGGCTGTTCAGATTTTTCAACTGGTGCGTCTGATGATCAAAGGACTGCTCAGACTGAAGCTGTTTCCAAAATGGAATGCTTCAAAACGTTGTCACTGGAAAATACTGCCATCAGCACACATTTACTCAGAATACCTACATAAAGATCATTTCCTTAGCTTCACTTTCTTAGAATCACTGATCACTGTGAGCTCTTCTGTGTCAAACATAATGAAACAATTTAAATTTAACATTTATGGTCTCACTTTGCTATCCTCTCAGTCTACTTGTCTGTCTTTGACAGTTGGCCAGCTTCAACTACCTTCTGTTACAACTGGAGTCAAAAACTTTGTTATTCTGCCTCATTTCCCATTGCTCCTTGATTCATCTCTGTCCACCTGTCATGTCACCTTATGAGATGACCTTTGGTTGCACGGATCATCTTCTTGGCTCTATGATGCACTGAAATTTTAGCCCAAGATGCTCTTAAACCATTCACGTAACAGTAATGTGAGCTTTTTTTCCCTACTATTAATAAGAAAGTGAGTAGTTATGGTTAGCATAATGGGATTCTGGTTTTAGCTTTTTTTTCTTAACTAAGAAAACTAACCTTACTTAAAAGTTTCCTCCTTACAGAACTACCTAAATTAATGCTAGTTTGCTAACCGACAACTTACAGAACACTCACTATCCACAGGATGGAGAAGGAAAGTCTTGTGGCCATATAGAACTGTGCAACTTAAGACTATGTAGCTTATCAGTGTAGCTTAAACTATGTAAAGGTCAAGAGTTTCTCAACAGACAGGAATTTCTCAAAAGATAGAGGGTGTCTTTATTCCGTAAAACAGAACTGATAAAAGGAACATAAAGCTAACAAACTAGTCAAAACTGCCCTTATGGTTGGACACTGTTCCAAAAGGCATGAACGCTGTTTTAAAGGGCATGATGATGTGCCAAAAGCAAGAGAAAAGGACAGTGTGAGGAAGACTGCAGAACGACCACCAGAGGGTTTTGAATGACCACCCTAATGGACCACCAAATTAAAATGGGAGGCACGTCAAGGGGAGGAACAGTTTTGGGAAATGGGAAGGACAGATCTGTGGAATCCATGAATTATTCATTAGATAGCTAAATAAAGATATGAAGCTTTTGTAACTTGGCATGCACGATTTTTGGAGGATCCCATCTCCTCGTGCGTCCAACATCGTAAATAAAAGAATGCTGCTCCCTAATACTCACGAAGAGTCTTAGAGAGTTCTTTTATATCCAGTTTGTGGGCAACAGTCTGGTTGTTGTTGGTTTGGTTTTTTTTTAATTTAAAATGCCTTCTGCTTAGTTGGTTAGTTTGACACTTACATGTAATTCCAATTTTATATAGCTCTCGGAATTTTTGATTGTAGCCTTCTCCTGGCACATAGTCACCGAGGCCAATGGTGCTCAGGGAAATGAAACAAAAATAAAAAGATTCCAAAAAATTCCAGTCATCTTCCAGGACCGAAAATATTGCTGCTGGGATTAAGAAGAAGCAGGAGACAGTGATGAACCCAAGGACCATAGCGTGGATGATTGCAACGACCTGCTTGGAGAAGCCCCAGCGAATGTGGAAATACAGTACAGGCCACCTGGTGACATATACTATGATGCGCTGCACCACTGCTGTCAGGAACAGCAGTGTAAATGGGATCCCGATGACTGAGTAGATGATGCAGAAGGCCTTTCCTCCATCAGATAAAGGCACTGTGTGTCCATAACCTGAAACAAAGCAGAGAGGGCATAGGCTGAGTTAAAGCTAGGAGCTCATGTACCAATTTGATAATGGCTATATTGAGTGAGAAAAATAAGCTGCACTGCACTGTTACTAATTCTGAATCCTCCTATTATTGACAAATGCTGTTCAAAGGTCTGTTTTAAGCAGGCAAACAAAGCCTCAGTGAGCTTCATTAAGCTACGTGAGCCTCAGCCATAACTAAGTAAAACCAAATATTTTTATATTTCAGAATTGTGAACATCATTGTATAAACGTTTATTTTGGAGAATGAAGAAATGCCTAGTCAGGAGCAGGAGCTTATGCCAGAAAATTTCTTTTTTATCTGGGTTTTCCTGCTGACCTTTTTATTCAGTTTTACAAAGTGTTGTAACTTCTTCTACCCACACTGTGAATTAGAATAATAGATACTTCAGAAAAATGTTCCTACATCTACTTTGTAGTAACACACTCCAACACCTTTTGTGAAAATCAATTAAATTACATAGAAGTACTGTAATCAACATTCCATGCTACCTACTTCCATGCTTCCACACATTATAATCCACCAAAGATATCTAAAAGCAGAACAAACATTTTCACAGCAAAACTCCTAGGATCTATCCACTGTGGCTGCATTTTTGCCTCACCATTTACACACTGGAAGTATCAATAGTGATGTATTCAGAGTACAGGAGTGTATCCACCAGTGTACAGGCTGATGAGGGCCAGCAATTTCAATGCCACAAACACATGCAATTACGCTTGAACCCAGTGCAAGGAGGTACACTGCCAAAGCACACTCTGACAGACAGCTTGGTTCTAAATGTAAATCGTAGGAACAGAAAAGAACAGTAAATCCAGCATAAAACAGGAATGCTTTCTTCTGTTTGCCAACAAAAAAAAAAAGAGTATTTTGTTTTCATTGCAGCAAGGAAGAGGAAATCTCTTGAAATCTAGTGTGGGCAGCCTTTACACTGATATCAAACCAAGGAAGTGCAGACAGGCTCTCGCAATTCTGCATCCCCAAATCAGCTAGCTCATTTGGGTTACGTCAGTGCTGTACAACAAGGCATTTTCCAGAGCTACTGCAACTGGCTGTCCTAAGAAGTCCAAGTAGAGCCTAGTGCATACAGGATTATGCTGCTTCTGATTTCTGAACTGGGCTCACTCTGCACTTCCCCAGCCTGCCCAGTGCAGCACTAGACTGGGCAGACATTCCACGAGGGCTCCTGGGAAACCCTCTGCCTGCTCCCCTGTGAAAATGGCTGTTCTGCAAGTCCCTTCATTTTATAAGAACATGAGAGATTTCCTCTCTACATTAATGAATTTAGTAATAGAATCATTGCTTTTTAAGATTTCTAGAGAAGTAAGAAAAGGAAATGTTATTTTTTATTTAAGATGCATAGAGACACTTCCAGACAATGAGAGGCAGGCAAAGCATCTTATCATTACAATGTACAAAGTCTTGGAGAAGAAATACATGAGGTGTAATTTCTCTGTGTTAGCTAACCTAAAATTTCAGGAAATTTCAGTTGTATTTGAATTTTAATGACATTATGAATAACTTAACCAAGCTTAGTCTTTTGAACCCTGGAAAATCATATTAATTAATGACTTTTTTTCTTGCTCACCTCCTGTTTGCTTAATCTGCTTTGAGATAAGAGAACTGGAACTGCATAGAGCAGTTCAGTCAGATTTATGAAGTTGCAGAGAAGCGTTCTACTCTGTTCCTAATAATGTTGGAGATTTCTGACTACCAACAAGCTGACGCTTTCTTGGCCCTGTCTATCAGAACTCTTGGATCTTGCATCCACCAGTGCTGATCACATCACTTCATATGTGAAACTATGACTGGTTTTGCTCTGAGCATGACTTAACATTTTATCCACATTCATTTTCAAGTGCCACTTTATTGCCCAGTTGCCCTACGGCTCTTGCATCATCCTTATTGCCTTATTGTCTTTAGTAAACTTAGTTGCTTCCCTCTTCCAGGCCTTAGGAATAAGTTGAACAGCACAAGCCCAACACAGGTCTACAAGGAACAACTTTTGTGACATTCCTTGGGTGAATGAATTTACCATTCCAAGAACTAACCATTTCTCCTACTCTGTTTGCTATCTTTCCATATCTCACATCTGTACAAGGACCAGTCCCAGTTGCTTAGTTTTCCTGAAAGTATTTTGTGAGACAATCAACTCCAAGTTTGGCAGAGAAGATGAGTGATTTTAGTATATCATGGGGTAACTAAAACTGGCCCATGTGACACAAACACAAAAGAGGCAACTGCAATGCTCCATCACATCAAGGTGTCTCCAGTACAACAGAATTATGAATAGGTTATTTAAATAAGATGCAGATCAGGCCTCATTTGGAATAATTTACCTCATTCTGTATATCCATGCTTAAAGAACAAATGCACATTGGAAGAAGAGCAGAGAAAGGTTACTGAAACCATCAAGGAATAGAGACTATTTTATGAGAGGAAGATAAAAGTGGTTGACTTGCTCAGAGCAACTGAATGGAGGTTTGAAAAGTAATGGAGTATCTCCCTGTTAATGCATCAGCATACAAGTATTACCGAAGGAAAAGAAATTCTTTAGATGAAGAAGAATAATAGTGCCACACAAACAAACAGCTTTGATGTAACATGAATAAATTTAGTCTAGAAATTAGAAAAAGGTTTTTAAGCTTCAGAGACCAGCTTTGGAGCAGCCATACACTTCCAGTACTGGGGAAAAAAACCCCAGCTATGTTAAAGAGGAGCCCAACAAAGCTTGGTAACATTATGGATGTCACAATATCACAAAGCCATACATGACAAGCAGAAATTGAGCTTGCAGATCTAGAAAGTCCCTTGCAAGTTCCAGGTTCCTACATTTAACTATACAGGAACTATAAGGCTAAAGAGCACTGATAGTTTTAGACTGAGGAGAGAGTTTATGCTCCTCTCAGCCAGCAGCAGTAAGATGACATCTTCCAAAAACAACGGATGAGTGACCTGTGTTTGCTTGCTACTCAGGAAACAGAGTCACTGCTTGGGAATGATTATATGGAAAAGCTTGAGCTAATACAGTTACAATTTATGAGGCTATGGTAAGTGGGGAAGAAAAGGATTCCTATTTTTCCCCAGAATGCAATTGCTTTTATGTGACTTTTCCTAACAATGCCAATTATCTTAGTCATCACTGTACAAAAGTCATCAAAAAAATAAAAAACAAACCAACACAGCCATAATTTAAAAGAGAGGAAATTATGGATCTGAGTCAGGAGATACTCTATGTCTGCTTTCAGACACTTGTGTTCTATTGCCTCCCATCTCTGCTCCTGCACCTGTTTGTAGTTTCTTTTTACTGTACCCTCTTCAGGGAGATGTCCACTCGTCTTTCTCAGTGGAAACCACCATGATCAGAGGCTTTACAATTGCTATCCTAAGGTATTATTTTGCTATGAGAAATGAATGCTCACCAAAAAGGGACTACTTATGAAGACATTTTTTGATTCCATCAAGGACACTTGCTATGGGTGACCAGAATTAAATGGCCCATGTAACATGTCTTATAGCTCTATTACTGATTATGAAGACAGACTAGATTTATTGAATGCTGTATCTTCATATTGTATAATGTAAATACCAAAATAACAATCACCTATTTAAAAGCACTGGCCTTTGAAAAGCCACACCCTAAGACAACCTGTTACTTACAGTGACACCAGTGATAAAAGGATATCACCCACAAATAATCTCTTCTATTGTCTATTCATAGTTCAGAGGTATCGTTCCTTCAAAAAAAGGAATCACAGAAAAGAACACATTCAAGACCAGGCGATTTTGCCAAACGAAATAAGATCAATGACCCATGTAAGGTCAATGTCTTAAGATAGACAATATTTGACTGATCATACAAAGAGCAAAACCCCACAAGATGTTTGCAGATGGGTTTTATTTCTGTTCACACATGGGGATTTTTTTCCTTAAAAGTCATTTATTTTCTTATGACTTGAAGGATTTCTACTATTATATACACTTATATAAATATACAAAATGTCTTTATCTGTTCTGATGTAATTCTGAATGTTGTCATATACTAAAAAAGTGTATTTTTAGAAATCATTTAAAATATTTAAGTATTTTTACATTTATCTTGGTGCTGAATTATACAAGTCAATCATGCATTCAGTAAAAATTTTTCCACATGCTGTCCTTCAAGTTGGTCTTTTGCTCTTATATCTTTCTAAAAAGGCTCAGTCATGACTTTTCTATACTCTTCAGTGGTTGTATCCTCCTGTGCAAGTTCCTCTTTTAGTTATTTTCTCTCCTGTCTTACCTGTGTCTAATTGTTCCTGTTAGATCACTTTCTAGATAAATACACGGAATTGATCACTTATTCCAGGTAAGATATATTTTCTCCCTCCATTTTTTATGTACCATCACACTTTGTTTTCCAGAGTCTCTCAGTAGCTTACAACAATATCCAATTCATAACAGCCTATGTCAAAGCCAGCATTGCCTATGAGCATTTTACCCTAATCTTCCATCCTGTGTTAGCTTGGCACTTGTTGGCACTCGGTGTTTTCTCCTTTCATCCTTTTCAGATACTGCTTTGACAAATCTAAGCAGTTGTGTATTATCTCTGCTTTGTCTTTTCACAGTTCAGTCCCTCCTGTAGCTCATTAATAGGTCCTGCACTATATTAAGAGGCAGTGGCTGCCTTACAGGTCTTTCAGGACCCTGAGTTGAGCATTTAGTGCCAGAGTGCAGAGGTGCCGCAATTCTGTGTTGTAACAACCCAGCCTAGACTTCCACACAGAAGTCCCCGGAGGCTGCCCTGAAGAATGGATGTTTGAATGTTGGATCTGACATAGGTGAGGCAAGTACCAGGCAAACAGAGGTGCCATAGCCCTTGGAAAGCTTCCCTCAGCCAGCCTCTCCCAGGCTATGGTGATGAAGCCTGGCAGGTGTGTACGCAGGCTGCGGCACTGCCTCTCTCTCTCGCCCCTCTGTTAT